GGAGGCGATGGCAGAACTCGCTCCTGGGCCACACAAGGAATCAGTAGCAGRAGAGTCCTTTGGCTCTCGGTTCCGTGTCTGGTGTGTGGCTCAAATGCTTGCTCTGGGAGGGGAATGGCAGAAGGTGCCAGGCAGAGCCCAGGTGCCACAGTCCCCTGGGACTGCCAGTTCATAACTGAAGCCTTGGTGCGCTCTCACATCATTTATTTGGTGATCAGTGATTTAATTGCACTGTGCAATATTAACCATAAAGATTTGCTTTACAAAGCATGTAGGACGCCTGCTGTGGTTTTGTATTGATATCCTTCCAAATGAGTGAGAGTGGTCTTAAAAATTACACAGCTCTGGCTCTGAGTGTAGTGCTTTGGGCAAGCTGCCAGCTGAGAAAAAAATATAATGTTAATAAACAACAGTGTCAATGATCACAGCACCATAGAATTCTAAATAACCTCAATATAAAATTACTGACCAAAGAGTGTCACTGTGATGCCAGAGAAACAAACATGACATTCATTTTGAGAAAAGCTTCAGACCTGCTCTGGAAAGCTACAGATCAGTCAGTTTAGCTTCTGTGCCAGGAAAATTGTCTGCTATTGCAATAAAACCCAGCATTTTTAGAGAGAAGAATGAACAGGATAAACGAGCAGAGAAAAAGGAGTCCCAGGAATACTCAGAAAAGGGATGTGATTGCTGTGACACACGGGCTGTGCAGGGTTGTGTCAGGCTGGTGGTTTCCCTTTGCTCTGTGTTCTCCTAACATGGATTTGTCAGTTTGGCACTTCTGCCTGTTGAAGAGGTTTTAAAGGTGACGTTTTGGTATGGTTCTTAAATACTGGAATCTTGAACAAAACAGTTCAGACAGGAACTTGTCGTATCCTTTTGYTAATGCTGTGTGCAGACTGACCGGGACCAGTGGCTGCTTTGCTGTGGTGTCCTGGCCATCCCCAGCTCTGGCCGTGCCAGCATTTGTGGCCACGGGGATTGCAGAGCCAGAGTGTGACTGCCCTGGGCAGCACAGCACAGACACACCCCATGGGGCTGCTGTGTTCTTTGTAATGCTTTCATGGGGTTTGSTTCAGGCCCAACACATTGCCTTATTTCCTCTGATACCCTTTTGAACTTTGAATTTAATTCAACAGTTTTGAGGGCCAGCGTGTTCATAATTTAAATGAGCAAATGCATGTAAAAACACATGAAAATACTGAGACTTTGGTGAAACAGAAATTGCCACATCACTATGTTCAGTTAGGTGGGAACTGCATTTTAACCAGTTGCATAGTCCAGGAAATCTTAGATGGAAGGAAGTGAATGRAAGGATTGAGTTTCTCCTCTGCCTCAACATGCAGTTGCCAGGTGATACCATAAATAAATACTTAGCACAATTGGTGGAATCTGGTAATTTCAAATGCAAAATTTGGATTAAAAAAGTRACACAGAACAGTTGCTATTGTACCAGGGTTTAACCAACAAGTGTAAAAGGGTAAGCTAGATTGTTTGTTTAAAGTTTAATTTATTGTTGGCAACTACCTTTGAGGTTATTGAGAAACCCCACATAAAATCCCTGTAAATCCACAATCTCTTTTCTTTAAAAAAAAAATTATTTTCTTTCCTTGAGTATGTTTTTGTGTGTGGCAGCTCAGGCAAGGTATAGACCTATAACTGAATTATCCAGCTGAAAGGGATGTAATAGAGGCACAGCAGCATTTAAATCTACAGCCAGAGAAAACAAACAAAATCAGTCCCTTGTGTAATTAAAGCACATCCTGTCCAGAGAGCTCCAAGTTCAACCTGAATATTGTGCAGCATGCACCTGAGTGTGTAAACTGTACAAATGGGAAAGGATGCAGCATTGCAAATGTGTCCCAGTGTCTCTGAGTTCTTCATTTGTCCTGTTTTCCAGAGGATGAAAATACAGTTGAACTAAGATAGTTTAAAAATATATCTGCTGATTATGGTTGCTTCAGTTTTTGTGTTCAAATTTCACATCTTTGGTTCAGTTTTTGCAGCTCTGTTCTTTGGTTACTGTGATGATTGTGGTGAAGCTGTGGCTGCCCCATCCCTGGCAGTGCTCAAGGGCAGGTTGGACAGAGCTCAGAGCAGTTGGGGACAGTGAAGGTGTCCCTGCCACCAGCAGGGCCTTGGCAGAGGGGCTGAGGAGCTGGGTCTGTGCAGCCAGAGCCCAGGAATGGTCCTGTCCTGCCCGTGGTCAGGGTTTATCATCCCAGAGCTGCTGTGGGAGCTGTCAGGACACTGCCAGGGCTGCCCTGTCCATCCCATGGTCAGGGTTTATCATCCCAGGAGCTGTCAGGAGGCTCCAGAGCTGCCCTGTCCATCCCATGGTCAGGGTTTATCATCCCAGAGCTGCTGTGGGAGCTGTCAGGACACTCTCAGGGCTGTCCATGGTCAGGGTTTATCCTCCCAGGAGCTGTCAGGAGGCTCCAGGACTGTCCATCCCATCCCCTGGTCAGGGTTTATCCTCCCAGGAGCTGTCAGGAGGCTCCAGGGCTGCTCTGTCCATCCCATGGTCAGGGTTTATCATCCCAGGAGCTGTCAGGAGGCTCCAGGGCTGTTCTGTCCATCCCATGGTCAGGGTTTATCATCCCAGGAGCTGTCAGGAGGCTCCAGGGCTGTTCTGTCCATCCCATGGTCAGGGTTTATCATCCCAGGAGCTGTCAGGAGGCTCCAGGGGCTGTCCTGTCCCATCCCATGGTCAGGGTTTATCCTCCCAGGAGCTGTCAGGAGGCTCCAGGGCTGTTCTGTCCTGTCCATCCCATGCCGTGGTGGTGGCAGTGCTGTTCTACACTGAGCTCTTGGCCTTATGCACCAGTCATGTTTTTCTCAATTTCCATGAGGCTACAAGATATTGCATTTACATAATCTACTGGCCAAATGCTGGATGTGATTTACTAAGGCAGCATTTTGTGTCTCAGACTATTAGGTAGCTCGGTTTAACTTAAACTGTTAAGCTTGTCATTTAAAGGGATTTTAAACATCTCCATTGATTTTATTGCAGATTTCTTCCAACGTATAACAGTCTTACAGACAAACACCTGGTTGGATATTTCAACAATGCCAGGATAAGACGACATCTTCAGAAATCAGGACTGGTGAGACTGAAAAGTTTCCCTCCATTCTACATTCAGTTCAGAATGTTTTATGCTTTTTTCCATATTTCATTTGCTTATTGGAGTTTCCCTCTGTGAAGGGTTTCAGTTTGCAGATATTCAGCATTGTATAGATTCACTGAGGGTTTTTACAATGTGAAACMTAAGCATCTTTGCCTTGTTGTTTAAACAGCTTCACTGTTATTTTTCAAAAGTATTTAATGGAAAACTGAAGGATTTGGTAAAGGTGAATATACTAAACATATTTTAAAAAACCTGCTGCACTCTGAGGTGTGATGCTCTTTCTCACAGGTGGGTACAACCTTTAGCAGTAGGGAGGCAAGTGTTTGATCCTTCCCACCCCCTTGGGCAGTGAAGAGTGATGCTGAGCTCTGGGCTGTAGAAATGTGGCTACTGCTCCTTCCATGTGGCTAGTGGAGCTGGTGGGGTCACAGACAGTCCTGTGCTGGAAGCTGAGCTCCAGCATGGTGGGAGCTAACCAGAGGAGAAAGCCATCTGGGAAATTGTACTGCTTCAAAGCAGACTTCATTTCATCCTCCTTTTCAGTGACGTTATATTTCTGTATGGCAGATCTCAAGGAGTGGAAGGATCATACCTGAGAAAGAATACCGCCTCAATGCCATGAGGAAGGAGCACCAGRGATACGTGAGGGAGTGTTTGGCTCGTGCCATTCTCCAGAAGGTGCTGGACATGGAGGTTGGTGCTTGCTGGGATGTGGGAGCCTGCTCAGGTGCTCCCTTGCTAACAGCCAGGGCTGCTAAATTGTGCTGGACTGTGTTCCTTGTGCTCTTATCCTGCCCTGGAAGGCTTTTCCTGCTGGCAAAAAGATCAATCTTTGTGCCTGACATTTCCCCCATGAAACCTCCATGGGTCTCTCATTGTCCAACCACGCTGTTGTGAGAGCAGCCACTGTCCTGGCTTCCTCATTGCTTTTTGACAGCCCTCAGATTGTAAAATGATATTCACAGGGCTGGTTTGCTTTAAAAAATCCTAATRAAAACAAACCAGYTTGAACACACTTTATGTATCATCYGAGTACAAAATTTGGGCATATTCCTGTGGTGTATCAAGAATGGAGTTGGTTCCTACAATCTYACCAGCTTTATCAGTGCTCAGTTGTTCCCTTGGCTGTGTGAATAAATGCAGGTGAAATGCAAATAGATTGAACCCATAGCAGCCCTCCCCAGGTCTCAATGGGGGTAGGGGACAGGGAGAAGGCGTGGGACAAACAGGACAGGAGCAAATGTTCTTGTGTGCACTGCCATCTCATAACCCATTAATGGGATCTTTCTTCTTATGTCCACAGCGTCACCATCAGCTGGAGATAAAGAGGAAACTTGAGAGTTCTGCGAGGAAAGAGAGGATGCAGAAAATCAAGGTAATGCTTGAGCACTGCTGGTGCTGATGGGACCTGGCAGCTTTGCCTGTGGTGAGTGATGAGCCTGACCAGTGATAACTGAGCTCTGTCTCTGATGCTTATCAGAGAGAGAAGTACAAGAAACAGGCAAGCAGAGGATGATCCTGCCCCAAGCTAATTTCCTTCTTCCTCTTTCCAGAAGTTCAGGAGCTTCCATTTATGCATCTAATTTCTAATTCCTTCTAAAGATATGTTTTTTTTTCTGCTTTGGCAATGTTCTTTGTTGGGTAATTTAATCATGAGTTATCTGAAATGATACCTCCTTGTATTTCTGTGTAGTAATTAATGTATCTGCTGTCTGAAATGTCTGCTCAATTGTTCTCCATTGTTCTCAATAACCAAAGTTATTATGTGTTTTCCTTTTCCAAGGCATCCGTGGTTTTGCATACCTACTTCATATTCCTTTTCAGTKTTCCAAGCTGAAGGCCCTCAGTCTGACTCTTTTGTACCTTAGCCATTCGAGGTTTCTCATTACAGTTGATATTTTTTTACCTTTTCTAGTTCTACTATTTCTGTTTTGAAATGGAGAACCATAACAGGATGAATAATTCAAGATACATTCTCCTCCCAGTAATTCTAGACCCTCTCTGCTTCTGACGGCTGCTGAGCACTGAGCTCATGTGTTTGGTTGTTTGCCTCTCCACAGGATTTGGGCAGAACTGGTGTGTGTGTGATGTAAAGAGGTTTTAAGAGCCCTCATTTAGGTGTCATGTAGGTTGAACTTGATTCTGTATTAAAGTCACGGAAATCCCATGGAAGTCAATGGTTCTTCTCCCCATGCAATCACCTGGARTCATATGGGAAAAGTTATCCTCATTTTGGCAGAAACTTGCTCAGCATTTTATTTCTCCATTAGTAAGCTGAATGCTTTGATAGGCATTTGAGAAGTGTGCCTTGAGAAGGTGGCAGCTTTTGTTGAGCAGCTGGGAAACAATGTCAGATCTGTTAAATCGTAAATAATAAATCTGTAAGAGAGGAGATCTTCCTGAAAGGCACTGGTCTCTATGGAAATTGCAAAGGCATTGTTTGCTGGTGGAAGCAGCAATTCTGGCACCCTGTCACGGGATCCTGGGCTTGGGTAAATCTGGAACATAAAGCAGAGCTGCTTCCWTCAGTGAGACAGGGCAGACACTGATCTGTGTGGCTGTGCTCCGTGCTGGGGGGCAGGAGCCGGGCTGGAGCCAGGGGGGTAATTCAATTCTCACCTCAAACACTCAGGAATTCATCCGAGTCCCTTGTCTGAGAGGAAAGAAGGATGGATGGCTGAGCAAGGGAGGSTGAGACACAGAGCTGTCATTTGCTGCCAGGCACTCATCCCAGCAGGGATGGGAGAGGAAGCTGCAGTCAGAGCAGGGAATGGCAGGTGCACTCAAATTCAAAAAGAGACCTTCAAACAAACCTAGAATCGTGAGATACACAGAAACAGGCAGATGRATTGAATCTGAGGGGTCAGCAGCTGGAAACAGCTGCAGAAAAATKAATCAGACTTGGGGACAAGTCTCACTTGTCGCTCACATTCTCCCATGATTTCCTTTCCTCCCTTCATCAGCTGTTTCATCGGGTCCAGGGGAGCTGATTGTTGTCACACTTGTCCAGTTAAAGACAGGCATAATGAGACAGACATCAGTGGTTTTGGATTTAGTGCCTCAGAGACGTGAATTCCCTTTCTTTCAGATGGAGCAGTTCAGAAGATCGCTGGGAGATGTTTTACCTCTGCACTCCCCACATCCACCACTCAGTCCCAGAAACCCCCATGGGCTCATTCCTTTGGTGGCTGCAGAACGAGCTGGCCGTTCACTRTGGGTGAGTTCCATCCATCCCAGGGACTCTCTGGAACAAGGAGAGCTGCAAATGTGCCCATGGGCCTTAGTGCAGAGCAGTCACTGCCTGGAAAATTCTGGATTAGAGCCTCACCCTGGGGCATTTGAGGCTGATTTCCTGTTTGTGGGCTGTGTTAAAGAGAACCTCCAGAAGCTAGTGCTGCAGGAATGGCACATCAGAACTTAGAGAAAAACACCAACCATTACTCTCTGATAAATCTGTTTCAGTCTTTCCTTTTTAGTTACCCCATGACCTCAGGTAGGCTGGTATCAGTGTGTTGAGCATTGTCAGCTCACACCGGTTACTCATGTTATAAAGTCCTGAAAATGCTGGGGGTTCTTCTATAAAACAGAGCTGAAGGGATGGAATCAGACGAGAGCACATTTCAGAGGGCTGTGGTCTGGGAGCTCTGCTTTTGCTCTTTGTTAACAGTAAAGAATGTTAATACACTCTTGAAATGTAAAGGTACTAAAGCCTAAAGTCAAAGGTCAAACATATTGCTCACTTTTAACAGATTCTCTATATCAATAATGATAATTGGTGCAGATTAAAAGTTCTGCATGACCTTGTGTTTGTACAGAGGGCASCTGCACTTGGAGCTGATTGTGGTGTTGGACATTCTCCTCATCAGCACCGAGCCAAGGAGCCTGTCCCCARGGTGGTGAGTGACCTCAGTTAAACAGTGCATTTAGGCTTAACATTTTAACTGGGTRTTCTGAAGGGTATCCAAGGAAAACATGAAGTGAAAAAGTCAGAAAAAACCTGAGYATTGAGCAAAAATGGGTATGTTTTTGTTGTGCATTCTCTGTGTCCATGTGCTGAAGTCCACAGCACACTGCTGCAGTTTCTGTGAGTTCAAAGTGTTTGCTCCAGGCTGCATGTTAAAGAGACAGTGGAAAATCCTGTATTTATGGCTAAGAGTTGTTTTGGAGGCTGCAGTTTTGGATGTCACTTACAGGAGCCTAAAGGGGCAGACTAGAAAATGTCATATCCTGGAGGTACCTGAAATCACTCATCACTTCATATATCTTCATAAGTGCTGTTTTTTTTCTTTGTGGTGCTGCTCTGCACTAGAAGCTGTAAGCTGAGATTTTGTCACTGTTTTCCTTTTCCTTCTGTAGAGTTCTTTGCGACCGAATACGGCTCCAGGAAATGTCCAGCAGCCCCTTCACCTTCAGCCCCTCCATGCCTGGGCTGCAGCAGGGTCTGCACCAAAGGCTTTCAGAGACAAATGCCATGATCTGCAGTTTGCTCGTGGGGTGAGGCTGTGTTTCATTTTGAAAATAATATCATTTTAGGGACAGTTTTATAATATTGCTTAAGTATGTATACTGCAGGGAACGTGTCTTTCAAATGCCATTTGCTTTTATTTAAAATCTCCTCTCTCACTTTTTCCCTCAATTTTCAAGACACTATCTTATTGGTCTAATGCCCAGTTCTTGATCACAGCGAGGAATAAAGTGATGACTTTTACCTTTTATAGTATAAAATCTGCATGCAACATTTTCTCCCCCCATGTACATTTTCTGTTATGTAGAGAGGGAGACAGACACTTGGTTAACTCTGGTAACTCGGGAATATTTTCACTTGCAAGTCTTACAAGTTTTCATTTTCATCTATCGCTGCAAAGCAGCAAAAAGCTTATTTTTGTAATCATTCTTTCTMCTAAGTCACACTAGTGGGCTTGGAGAATGAGAGTCAGACATGGTCTTGATATAAATGTAGCTCCTTTCAAGTGATAATCAAACTTGTTTTTTCTGTTCTAGTAAAACATAATTGGCTTTGTGATATTATTCCATGAGGTGGGAAGGTTTTGGAGTGGGACTGTGATCTGCTACCACTGGCTGGCAGACACTGTGTAAATGCCTTCCTTCTGCTCTGCATTTGTTCTGTATTGGTGTGGTCACAATTCTTTCTGCAAGGATTTGCTGGTCCTGTTTGTGTCTAATCAAATTATGGATGATTTRATGGTTTGTTTAGTGCTCACAACTGACAAAACTGCTAAATCAGATACAAATTCTGAGAATGTGATGCAGAACTCAGATCCACAGCATGCAGCATTTGCAGAACGCGTTCTCTAGTGATGTGTTGCTCTTCAGGGCCCTGGTCCTCTTCATTTCATTTTGCAAAAGGACCGAATCTCTCCTCAGATGGGGAGGCAGCACTTTGAACCAATCTTGTCTAACCAATGCTGGGTGATGTTTCTGTTGCATGGCTGGCTGCTCTGGGGTGTTTTCCAGCTGCAAGGGAGCAGTGGTGCTGCAGAGCTGTGCAGTTCTGTCTGGGATTGCACCTCTGCAGGGCTGCGTTTGCAGGCAGCCTGTGCCTATCAGGGTGACATTCTCAAGCAACACAAATGTTGCCTTGCAAGTCAAAACCAAGGGGTTTAGCACAGAAATGTTTTAATGAACAAAATTCCAGGCCCCAAGTTAAGGAACTGCTTCAGAAGGAT